CCCCAAAACCCCAAAACCCCAAAACCCCAAAACCCCAAAACCCCAAAACCCCAAAAATCTATTTACATGTTGAAAAGTGAGGAGATATTAATTTTTACCTTATTTTGTGAATTATTTGGAGCTTGAACTTGCTCCTCTCAAGAGTTTTTATCTTCATGATTAGTAGTTTCATTATTTTGTTGACAGAGCTGAGTAGGGTCAATATGAATTAGATCTACTAGGAATATCTTCCTCCTCTCAATTTCTAAAGTATTAATGATAGCTTTACTTGGAGTAACTCCTTCTTCATCACTTTCATCAGAAAGGAACTCCAGGTTAACTTCACTTGCTAGATTCAATACATCTTCTTCTGTATCTAGATGTTCTTTCTCCTTAGAGATATCTTGACTATTAGATCTTAGGAAGTGCATAAGACTTTGCCTGACCTGAGCAGAGACCTCTTCTCCTAGACTTTCATTATCTATTAACTTAGAAAGCAAACATTACTTTCTTGCATATTTTCTTTAACGTCTCTTTCTATTTTAAGATCCAGCTTCCTCGACTCTTGGTTTTGAATATTCTGCTCTTGAAACGGTATCCCTTGCAGTGGTTGAAGCACTGAGAAAGTATAGCTTGTTGACTATACAAAATTCTAGCCAATACTCTTATAAAATAAGAATTCTTCAAATTACTTCTCATAACCGTAACACTTCACAACTTCTTAACAATATTTATTTTCAAATTATAGTATTTTGCAAGCTAGTGTCAACGACTACGAGGCTTTAAAGCATTATTCTGAGTAATATAACTGTAATAATCCGAAATAAGTCAAGTGTGTGCTTACCTTCTTTAACTGAAGGTCAATTCTCTGTCCTAAATTCTCTTTACAATCTATTTCAGATTTATAAAAACACTAAATTTACTGTGCTCATGAACTATTTTAGGATGATCTTGTTGGTTGTGTGATTGAGTGGCTGTAAAATTTATTAATACCTAAATAAATACGACTTACTGGATGGAAGGTCTCTATGTCTACTTTTACTGCTATGGTTCATCTTTAATTCTAACTGAATTCAATTTTAACAATATTTTTAGGGGTTTTGGGGTTTTGGGGTTTTGGGGTTTTGGGGTTTTGGGG